ATGATATAAAATAAATTTGAGATATGTATGGTCCTACTTTCAGGAACCTAAATACAGATAGGGGAGCCTTGGAAAAGAGAAAACAAAAAAAAAATTTTATGTAATTTATTTCCAATTTAATGAAACTATAAAATTCAAAGATATTCAATGGAGGAAGAGTGGACTGGAGTACCTAGGTATAGCTCCAACAAGTCAGTGAAATATAAAAAGAATCCTTAGGTTTAAGGCCAGCGGTCTTATCTATTTCTAGTTACATAAAATTTTCATGCAGGGACAATCTTATCCACAAAGTGGATTATTAGAGACATGCCCTGTGGTTTGAGCGATGTCCAGCCCCCTTCATCTTCTCAAATGCCTCTGAACCTGACCCGTGTCTACCTCAGTGCCTGGGACTATAGAGTTTTCCCTGTGAGTTAAGGTACAGCCATCACAAGATGTCCTTTTAAAAAAGAAGATATTCCCCGGAGAATATCAGGTTAAACATACCAAACATGATCTGCCTGGATGATTCTGCTGAGCAAGGCTGTTCACGCCTCTGCTCTGGGGAACCAGAACCTGTGATCACGTGAGGCTGAGATGCTGGCTTTGTGGGAGACTCGGAAAGAAAAGGCAGGAAGGAAATCCTTTTCTCTGTTTTGCACTTTTGTAAATTATTGATATCTTGATCAATTTTTAGGTATAGATGACTCCAAGAAAATATGATAAAAGCTGTGGACCATCTTTTCTGATAAATGTTCAAAACCTAAAACATTATAAACAATTCATGAAGCTCCCAGATTCCTAACGTCTGTTTATAGATCCTAGGTTAAAAATCTCTGTTCACTGAACAAATAAAATGTCATTTTTAGTATCTACATTGCTGGGAAACTGGTGTTCACCTCTCTTTATTCTATTTATAGTTCATCTACTCAACTTCCACTCTCATCCATTCCTTTTCCCCATAGCATTTATAGGTTGACAGAGCCGTCAAAATAATGACTAAGGGGGTGGCTCCATAGTGTAGTGGTTAGCACATCTGCTTTACACGCAGAAGGTCCTCAGTTTGCGCCCCAGGTGGAGCCATGGGCCAGGCCCCAGGTGCACGCCGCAAGTGTGTGGGAGGAGATGCCCAGCCTTCAGAGATCCAGTTCTTAAGGGGAAACGGGAACATCCATAGGTCAGGAGTGGAAGTGGTAGTGGTGGGGAATTAAAGAGGGGGAAAAAATAATAATAATGACTAAGGACCTTCACGTAGGATAAAAGAAGGCTGTGTGCTGCTAACTCCAATTTGTTTCCATGTTCTAAAATGATGTAACGAAGAACAAGGAGTAGCCAAAGGAAGCTGGGGTGTGGGAAGCGGGAAGGGGAAAGGGAAGGTGGGCAGTGGAGGTGATGTTGCAGAGGTGATGTGATGCCGCCAGCTCTGCCATACTTGTTGCTGTTTGTTCAAATGAAAGCTCAGTATAACATATTAGGGAAAATCAGACCACAGAGTATACCATCAAAGAGTTTCCTCTCATAGACTTTGGGTCAGAATGTATGGAAGTAAACGAGCTAGAAGTCCTCACTAAGGACTTCAAATGGCAAAAGTTTGAAATATTTCAAGTTTGTTTTCAAGGTCTTTGACGTCCCAGGCACAAGGTTCCAATGTTGCTATGGCGAGAAGGAAAGTCAGGATGCAAGAGCTGAGCTACCCTGGTTCCCTGTTAGAGAAGAAAGAGCATAAAGAATCATTTCACCCAAAGCAATCATGGCTAGGTATTACCCCTGCCAAGGGAGTTTGTATTGCAGAGATGGGGCACACATAACTAACATAACTTGATTTTTCTATATCCCATAAACCTTCCCCCTTCTCTGCACAGCTCACTCTGAGGGACTATAAAGTTCTACCACTTTCTTTAGTCAGGTTTATCCATATCAGCTCAATGGAAGCAGGATATCAGTTTTATTTCTAAGTATTCTTGGTAATGCATAGACATCTATCCCATCACAACTGTTCAGGTATCTAGTCTTATAGTAAGTGTTTCTGATATTAACTAGTAGTTTTCTATTCATTCCTATTTGGGGTTTTGTTGTTGTTGTTGTTCCTACAAAGTGTAGTAATTAAGTGCACAAAGTCAAGCCAGACTGCTTGGATCCAAAATTCCACTACCGACGCTGCTTTGTGATCTTGGGCAAATTGCTAAACCTCTATTTGCCATTTCTTCATTTATAAAGTGCACATAAGAACAGCACTCACCTCATAAAGCTGGCGAGTTAACGTATAAAATGCTTAGAACAGAGCTTGGCATGTGGCAAGTGCTCGATAAATCTTAGCTATGGTTATCAGACTCTGTTTGCTGAGAGTGCTGCATTTTCAGCACCACGATGTGGGAATCAACTGCTAGTAAAATTACCGTTGGTAATTTTCCACTTGGAAGTCATTATAATAAAATATAAACTTCCGTGGCACACTGGGAACATGTCCTTTAGAACTTCTGACTCCTGAGAAGATACATTTGTGGAGGCACATACGTCATCATTATCCTTTTCTCGTCACAGGCTAGGAAAATCTCCCCAAAAGAGCATTGTGGTCACGGGGTTTTCCATTTGCCAGTGAAAGACCATATCGATAGGGAAAAGGGGGCTAAGGTGAGAAAGCACAGGGGTAATAATCTGATTTGGCTTCACAGAGGATGAAGCAGCCATGTGGGTGGAGCAGGCTTCACAGAGACCTGGGGCCCAACATTCATTTAGGGAACAATTTGGAATCCAGAAACCCATTCTCTTTTCGTGTACCAGCCGAAACACTGTTCCAGAAAGAGCGTCTATTTGGATTCATTGGTTTCCATCCAATATACCCCTTGTGGGGAGAACTTTCCACCAAGTCAGCACAGAGCTGGTTAGCCTCCTGCATGTCAGACTGATACGCAGGTACATTTGGACCCCAGGAGCAGATTCTGCATGGGGATCATGGAAACCTGGACTCCATTTGATACTTGTAGAAGCTTTACAGACTATGAATTTTGAGGATCTAGTCACATACTCTTTGTCAAGGGTCTAGCAAATCCCTTTCATATACAATAGTTAGTTTAACAGTTTTATGGCACATAAAGAAAGGCCGAAGAACATTGAAACCATTCTAATGATAAGCCCCCCTTCTCCATGTGTTTACTCTATTATCAGCTCTTGATACAGCCCTGGCTGGTGGCAACTGTACTGTAATCCAGGGGGACAAAACAATGGAGAGGAGGAGGCTTAGATGCAAGAGTAGGAGCCCAAGGTGGAATAAAACAAAAATATTGCTATCTTTGGTGAGGAAGAGGTGTAGAAGTTAACATGGCATCAGCAGATCTCTTAGTACAGCACATAACGAGATCATTTTCTAAGGAGAAGGACAATTTTGGGTTGGACTGAAAGATTTAGAGGATTTCCTTGACTCATCTCTTTCTAATCCTAGATAGCAACATCAAATTAGCCACTGTTATCCTGATTCTGCTCCCAAACTGTCTATAGTCCCCCAGTGCCTGCCTAATATCTCAGGCTAAGATGAAGGCCTCCACCAGCTGGGATCTAGCTTTCCTTCCCAGATCTGACTCCCACAACTTTTCATCCTAGCTAAGCTCACTGACTGTCCTTCTTACATGTCCCATCCTTTATCACCACTCCACTTTCGTCCCCGCTGCTTTTTCATCTTGTGTGTCCTTCCCCCACGGTCCACTCATTATTTTTTTTTCTGCTTGAAAGCTCAACTCTTACTTCCACCAGGAGGCTAATCCCCTGTACTACAAACAGCTTCCCTCTCTTCTTCACGTCCACAGAACTTTGTTCATACTTCTCTTAGGATACTTTTTTCAGTCTTCCTTACACTGTGGTTATGTTTGTACTCTCTATCTTCCTACTATATTATAAATGTAAGGGCACAATTTGTACCTTACTCATCTTTCTACTCCATAATACTTTATACTCCAATGCAAAATATACTTAGCTAAAGAAAATGCTCTATTCGTTGAAGTTAATACTGAGGGAAAAAAAGTCATATTAGACTAGATGCCTGGAAGTTTCCCGTGAACCTACACAAATTGGTCCTTATGGATACATTATTTTTTGCATTCCTGGAACATACATGTTCTAAATACATATATACTTCATTCATTCATTCATTCATCCTTCAGTATAAATTTATAAATGTGTTGAATATCTATCAAATACAAGGCATATGCATGATAGATACAGCACTGGTTTTGGATATATGCGTATGTGCATTCAATTCTCAAGTTTGTCATTTAGTTTCCCTTCTTTTCAGCCAAAGGGAAGCAAAGAGGCACTCTTCAGCAGACTATTAGCCAAGAGCAGTGTGTGATAGGAATGACCTTTATTTAAGTTGTGACTTATATGGTCAGGATAAATCATGTAAATGCACAGAACCAAGTTAGATGCAATTTTAAAGTCAACATGAGATATTGGCTTTTTAGACAGTCATCCTTGTGTTCATTTGGAATTTTTGCATTAAAAAGGATCGAATACATCCCACCTTTTTCTCTATTATCTGTAATTATTTTCCTGGCATTCATTCAATGAAGAGCTTCAAGTTCACTTATGAAAATTGAAATAAACTGATGAAAATTGAAAATCAATGTTTTCTTCTAACCGTTTGAACAAAAATGTAAAAAGCCTCCAATTTTGTAATTACAATCAATATATAATGAGGAAAAGACCACAAATTTACAAACTTAAAAAATAAATTGGTTTGGGGTACATATGTTTTAAAATAGTCATTTTAAAAATATACATTTAAAAATGTTGTTTGAAGATATGAGTGCATCTGAACTTGATGCCTAGCTAAAGTTCTCTCTCCTGCCAGAGCCTTTATCCATGTACTGGGGTTGGGGGACATACAGGCCTGCCTCTTGCTTCCTAAGGACCCATCATTTCTTTGCACAAGTCTTTGAGGTCCAACCTATCTGTGACCCCTTCAGCCAGCAGCTTCCTGGATCTTTCCAGGCTTTGCGATGCTGCCTGATGCGGTGACTTCATTTCTTTCATAGACTGGCTCTTGGCTGGTTCTCTCTCCCTTTCTCTCCTTCCCCATCTCCCTCTCTTTTCTCCCACGGCTCATCTGCCCCTCCTTTCCTCCATCCCCCTCTCCTCTCTGCTCCCTTTATTTCCACTCCCCACACGCGTAGCTTTGCTCTCCTTCACTCTCTCTCCCCCTCGGCCTGTCTGTATTTGGAGCTCCCGGAAGCCGCCGGCGACTCTCCCCAGGAGCAGCGTGACTGACACCGACTCTCTTTCAGGGGGGAGGAGGAGGAGAGGAGGAGGGCAAGCTGGAGGAGGGTGCGAGTGGCCGAGCACGGATTTGCATTGCCGAAAACAAGACCCCAGGACACCAAGCAGGTAATCCTGAGCGGCTGGGCCGGGCAAGGGAGAGGAGGGCTGGGGGTGCAGGTGAGGGGGACGCCCGTGGCTGAAGCTCGGAAGTTGCATCGAATAGGTGGAGTGCAGAGGGGCCGGGACGCGGCGGGGGCGCCGGAGGAAGAAAAGACGGTGCGGGCGCCTGCAGAAACTGGACGCCGGGGACCTGGGGCGGGGACGCGGACTCGGGCCGAGGCCCGATGCCTGGGCGCGGGGGCGCGGGGGCGCGGGCGGGGGCGGCCTCCCCATCTGGGTCAGCGCAACTGCGCGCCCTGCCCCCGTCGCCGGCCCTGGTTCTGGGCGCCCGGGGCCGCTTACTAGGCGGGTGCGGGCTGAGAGCAGGTTTGCGGCTGAGCTGGTGGCGGCCTCGCGCTCCAGGCTCTTCTAAGTTTGTGGTGCTCGCCCGCACGGCTCTGAGCCTCATGGGGGTGCGTGTGTGTGGAGATAGGGAACTGTTACTGGACTGGCTCTGATCACAGCCACCTCGGTCAGAAAGTGCTGGGGGAAAAAACAGCCCTGTCTTCTCTGCAGAACCTGACTTGAGGCAATGTGTCACTGTAAAAAAAAAAAAAAAATGCAAAGGCAACTGAGGCATTGAAGGACAGCTTCGAAAAGGGCTCCTCACAGCTGCGTCTCTGACTGCTTTGGGTAGAGGGTTGTTCGTGGCAGTAACCGAGTTATCACTTTTAGGGTTAATAATCATATATGCAGATGGTCTTTCTTTCTCGTCAGAGTGGTGTCTGGCGTCACAAATAGGCTGCAAGTTTTAGCAATAATTAGACTGATGCATTCTTTATAATGAGTAAATATCCGTGACAGCATTTAAGATATTGAACTAGGATTGGGTCCAAATGGCCAAAGCAGAGATGAACACTTAGTAAAAAGATTAAGAACCTTTACTTATACAGTCATGAGAAAGCAGAAGCTATGGGACTTTCGCACCTTCGTTGACCAGAATCTTTTGCAAAGCGCTATTTCTTTACTGCAAATAAAGATTTCTTTTAATTTAAACAACATGCCTTAACATTCTGGGGTAAAGTACCCAAGCCCACTTAATGTAAGATTACAACAGGGGAGTGATCTTTGAGGAAATTTTTGTAGTTACTAGTGTCTAATTAGACTGTAAGCCTCTTGAAGACAAAATTGGGGGTTTCGTTAGTTCTTACAACACCAAACGGTATTTGATTCACAGCGCGTAATGAGCAGACAGTTTATTAAAATAATTCAATAGCTTGAGTGTGGCTGTATCATGACTTCTTGAAATTGCATAATTTGCAAGAAAAGACTACTTCATGAATCCCTAAATCTAAAAATTCTTCATAAAGTTAGAATCAAGGTGTCATATATTTATTAAAGATAAAGAGGAAAAAAAAGAAATTGACTACGAGAAATCATGAAAGTAACTATCAAGTTGGTCTTGACTAGTAGAAAATAGGATTTTGATGCTCATTGTTGAAGTAAAGAGTCAATTTTGTAACTATAGTATAGGCTTTGGCAAACTCTTTGAGAAAAGGGCTAGATGGTAAATATGTAGGCCTTGCTGGCCATCTGCTCTGTTTAGTAACTACTCAGCTGTGCCATTGTAGCTTGAAAGCAGCCATAGGCAATATATAAAGGAATGGTGTGACTCTATTTCACTTGATTTATGGACACGGAAATTTGAAGTTCATATAACTTTCACCAGCAGCAACATTTTCTTCTTTTTTCCCCCAAGCTTTTAAAAATGTAAAAATCATTTTTAGGTTGAGAAAACAGGAGACATAAAAACAAGAAAAGAGTGGGAGTGTCCTGTTGGTAGTAGTTTGCTGCTGGCACCTACCATGTGACAGAGTTTGGAGAGGAACATTTTAAAAGTATTAATGGACTGATTCTCCTAGTCCCTAAGTCATATCTGGGAGTTAAGTTAAATGCCTTGAAGAGTAGCATCAACTTATTTTGGGCATTATAGTATTTTGTTTTGTCTTGAGTATTATCTAACAGATGTCTTTATGCATGAGGGTTTTAAAACATTCATTAAGTATGTAATATTTTATACATAAAAATAACATTCTAAGTTTATCTAAACTCTAAACATTATATTCAAATGACCACCTGTGACCCCATCACACAGCTTTAAAACTAGGGCTTAAAAACCAGATAATTGTGAAAAAATAACCCACGAAATGGAAGAAAGTATTTAAAAATCATATATCTAAGAGACTTATGTCCAAGATATATAAAGAGCTCTTAGAACTCAATTAAAAAAAAAAAGATAACCCAATATAAAAATAGTCAAAGGATCTGGACATTTCTCCAAAGAAATGGCCAATAAGCACGTGAAAGGATGCTCAATACGTTATTCACCAGAGAAAAGCAAATCAAAACCACAGTGAGAAACCACTTCACATCCCCTAGGTTGGCTAGATCCAAAAGGGCACATAAGTGTTGGTGAGGAGGTGGAGGAACTGGAGCCTTATACACTGCTGGTAGGAATATCAAAGAGTGCAACTGCTTTAGAAAACAGTTTATCAGTTAAAAGTTAAAAATGGAATTACCATATAATAAAGCAATTTCATTCTAAGTGTATATATCCAAGAGAAATAAAAGCATATGTCCACACCAAAACCTATATATAAATGTTTATACCAATACCATCTATAATAGCTAAAAGATGGAAACAACCCAGATGTTCATCAACTGATGAACTGATAAATAAATGTGGTATATCTATACAATGGGATTTATTTGATCGTAAAAAGGAATGAAGTACTCATACATGTTAGAATGTGTATGAAAACATTATTAGAAGTAAAAGAAGCTAGTCACAAAAAAACACATATTGTATGATTCTGTTCACATGACAACGTCTGGAACAGAGAAATAAATA